ACACAAACTTTTTTTTTCTTTTTTTACTGAAGCACATTCCCTGTAATTCCTGGTTTCTAACACAAGATGGAGCCTCTCATCATTAAAAAAAGTTTGAAGTGAATCCTGCAAAAATATAAGGGCTTTTTCAGCCTTCTTTAAAGGTTGTTTAGATTTGTAATATATAACTCAATCCCAGACAGAAAGCTTCAGTTATTAACCAAATATTCGATTAGCTGAGCTCATCAGCACAGCTAAATAGCAAGATCTAAATAACGTGCTGCCGACTTGGAGGGGGCAGCAAATACTGTTTTATTACAGACTGATAAATTAAGTGAGTTAGTGTTTTTTTCCAGAGGCTTCACTTGGTAAAGGTTCGCACTCCGTGCTATTCCACCACAGAGAGAAAGAAAGGCTCTTTTGTTTTTGTAAAGATCTGCATCATCTGCTTACATTTGTGGGATAAAAATCATGGAACGAGGGGTTATGATAAAAGCAAATACATAATTATGGTCCACTTTAAAAATAAAACTTAAAGTCAAACATTTCATCGTTATAATAGGGTCCAAAATTCTGTTAAGGGGATGTTGTTTATTACTTATACATGATTTTTGGTTTTCAGTCATTTACAAATTACCCCTTTCTGTCATTCTGAAGAATGAAGTTACATGCACACCTCAAACCATCCTACCAGAACTTCTCCTTCAGTATGATAACTCCAAGTAAAGCAAAACATCTTACCAGCTGCAGTACTTGGTTATCCTTTATCTCTCATTCCTCTGTGATCACTTTTTCAGGATCACCCTGTACTCACGCCTGGCTCCCGCCTCGCTCTCTTCTGCCATCACCCAAATCTCAAGGCTCCGATCTTTGCCTCTCTGCTTCAAACGAGCGCCACCTCCTATTCCTTCAACTCTTTTAGCCCTGTATTCTAGGCCTCTCCTAAACAGCGTACTAACTTGTCCTCTCCGTTCCTCTCCCTCTCTCGGTTTCTCTCTCTCTCTCTTTCTCCCTCTAAGCAGATCTCTGGCAGGCCATTTTTGTCTCGTTCACCCACTGTGGGAAAACAACTCATTATGGGAAGCTAAGCATTTGACCCTGTGGGGAGGGTACCGGTTCTGCGATCAAGGTCACATTATCAGCTGAGAGACAGAGCCATCGTGGACAAAGGGGGAGGAGGGGGGGTGGGGGGTAGAATTTATGCAGGGGGAGTAGTTATGTGAACACTGCTTGCCAACAGCCTATTCCAGCGGGGGAATCAACTGTGCTAAACTGAATGGAAGCACACATTTTTGCTCTTTAAAAAGTCTAATCAGGTGCAACTTGTAGCAATTTCTGTCCCGTGTCCTTGGCCCCATGGACTCTCTGTGGATCTCGTCACTTCCCACTTTGTGATGTCCAATTAGTCAAGTAGGCCACAATGACAGGGCAGGAGAGAAAAGAACACGTGATGATGGAGAGAGAGACAGACAGCAGGGACCGAGTAAAGTAGGGAAAAAAGCTGCCAGAAACAGAATTTGAATGAGAATGTGAATGACAGTTTAGAAGGCAATCTGTGTCCCCTTCCCCCCTAAAGTGTGCAGGACATGTGCCCATAAACCCTGTAACTACTTCAACATGTCTCTTATTATAAAGCATTTCATTTAAATAGGAAATAAAAACTATGCAGTCCTTTGTTTTAAGCATAAGATGGTTAAGGCCTTCATGGTTTTCAGAGGTTTAAACCAGTTTAAATCCTAAAAGCAGCTGCTTCCTTTTTCTATGAAGCACAGAATAAAGGTTAATCCCCCCTAATAAAATCAGCTGTTACGAATATTTTAATTTGTAAAAAAAAAAAAAAAAAAAAAAAAAAACGGTGCAGAAACTAAAGACAAAAACTAAAAATTAGCACTGTTTGGAAATTAAAGTCAAAGTAATTCATATTCTGCTTAAAAAATATTCAATATAAAAGTAAAAAATTAATGGAGAAACTTCTACATTTAGAAGAAGATTTTAATTAAATATTTTTACAATTATTTATTTTATATGCTTCAACCAATTCTGGACAAAATATTTACCATCACTTTTATAGTACTGTAATACCCCTTTCACACTGGCTGAAAACCCCATTTAAACTCAATTGGCTTTTAGTGGCAGTGGGAAAAGCTCGGTGACGCGTGTCTACCCGGGTCAAATGACTCGGCAAGCGATCTGTGTAAAAATTGTATCGGCTCTGATCGGCATGCTGTGAGACCCGAACTGACCCGCTAAATTACGTGATACCATTGATCGGAACCTACGGACGTCTACACATTGTGGCAGTCGCTTCTGATCTAATAAAGCGGAAACAACACTGTTTACATTCGATAAACATGGCGCAGCACTGATAAGAACGATTCAGACAGAAAAGAGCGAAACAGTAGAGAAAAATGACTACACCCTGGCTTCCTTCCATGTAGCTCTCCATTGTTTACTTTCCTGATTTCTGTTGCACTGCGAACATCAAAACTAACCCAGCATGATGGTGTCATGGTACACACAGCCCAGGGGGGACAGAGGCCACGTAGCTTTCCAGACAGGAGGTTAGACCCAGCTTCTTTTGTCAATAGGTAGGAAGCCAGAAGCCAATTGTTAGCAGGTCGACCCATGTTTGAAAAAGACTCGTTAACCTGGTATTTTCAGTGGGAAAGAGGCTTAAGAATGCCATACTTAGGCCATCTGCTACAGATGAAAATATCCTCAGCAGGAGCAAAACATGATGTCTGTTCAAAGAAACAAATGGCTACTTACATTACGTTAGGGGGGAAAAAGTGCAGCATCAATTTTTTGTTTTTAAATATGGATATCATTGAAATTGCCTTGTGCATTTAAGCAACCCACACTCAAAGTGAGAGTTTGTGTTTTGTGTTTTTGCCTTTTGTGAAAACCTGCCTTCAGGAAATGAAGTGAATGGACATTATCAAATGCCTTCAAAAGAAGTGCAACATTGTCAAATGCACATGTAAACATCAGGGTTTTGTTTTTTTATCATATTAATGTCAAATGATATGAAAAATCAAACTGTAGTAGAAGCAACTAAGGACAGTTGACCTTTACATGAATCATCACCTGTTAAGTACTTTATGCCAAAAGGCAAAGTCTCAAACATATCCTTTAGGCAGTACTTCTCAATGGTTTGATTTTTCTTTAATCTAGCAATAAACGTTAACTGTTTTATTGTAAAGAGCTGGTGTTTCAGAAATTACCACAATGCAAAATGAAAATTCACGTAAAAAAACAGTATTACAGTACAAGTGTGCAAAGTTGTGGAAAGATCTTAAGTGGACTTTAATGTGTTTTAAATCACTTGCCATCGAAATGCATGGCTTGCCTTAAAACCGTCGGCTGTTAATGGGTGCCATTCAACATCGTCAAGAGCAAGAACATTCATATCCGAATGAATTTTCTACTCAATTAAAACGAACAATAATAAGACAGACTTGTAATTCCGACATTTTTCAGTCCTGACAGCCAACTGATTACAGCAATTAATATCATCACATCAGAGCATGATTAGATGCTGCAGGGGCTGCAAAGCTAAGAGGACCCAACAGCTGTGATGGAGCATATTCATTAAACATTCTGATTCCCCACGAACTGCTGATGAAAAGGAAACTGTTACCCTGTAGGCACCACGTTTGTTTAATGTTTTCATAATACACACGCTGAATGAAAAGTAAGATTCAAAGGTTCATGATTTAATAATCACACTTAATTTGAAAGTGGAATTTAAAGTGGAGATAAACAAAGTGGTGCAGGCAGTGGCTTTCTGTTGTTGTCTTTATTTTTAGTCTCTTAAGGTCATGATGTCCTTATAACAGCTGATAGGACCACACTCTGCGCTGTTTTAGTTCTGTTCCTGAAATGAAATAAGGCTCCGCCTGTGGCTTCAGCAACTATGTGCTAAACGTGCATCCGAAGGACAACAGGATTAAAGCGGTGTGACATTCAAGGCTTAATAATGACACTTAACACAAAAACCACCTCTTAATAACAGTCTTATAACGAATTAATCTGTTCTTGTAACACAAAAAGAGTTGAAAATTAAGTATCAGCATTCATTTCCTTCAGTTCTTCTGCCAATTGTTGCAAGGTGAAAGTTTTGATTAAATTATCACTTTTAAAAAGGTATAAAGGGTCATATCACCATATGTTTTTAGCGATATTTGCTCTGGAAGAGAGGCTCTCATTGCATATATGAAAACATTCACAAAAATAATCTGTTCTTTGAAATGACTAAAAGCAAAAACTCGACATTTATAGTATGGGACACCTTAGCGTTTGAAGAAATAGATTAAAAAAATGTATGCTAGAATTATTTAACAGGCATAAAAATGCTAGCGTTCAATTAAATTTAAAACATAATCTAGATTCATTCAGTGTAATTGTAGATTTTCAGTAAAGAAAAAAAGGTAAAGATTGGAGAGCAGTGAAACTGTGGGCTGTTATAAGAAATTATTTACTTTTGTGTAGGAATTTGTTAATGTTGTTCCATTTGTACCTTATAGAAATGATTTGAGTAAAAAAGTGTAGTGCTATGGATAATTCCTAAAAATCCCAGATAAAAAAAAAAAATCAATATCAGCAAGTCAGAGTTTTACTAAACCAGCTTTGGAAGCCAGCAACAAAATCTTGCATGCATCTTTAACTAGTTTAGCAATTTTGTTTGCTTGTTGTAGAACATATGCAACACATACGCAAAGGTGCAGCTACTTACAGACACAGAAACAGTGATATCATCAGTGTCAACAGGAGAGTCCAACCAGGGCCTTTCATCAGAAGACTGACTGTCTGAGTAGCCTTTCATTTTACCAGCTTGTGACAGCAGATTCCTGGATTTTCTCTGCATATTTTCCAAGTTTTGGTTGTCATCATTCTGCAGGAATCAAACATACGTTAGAGAGTGATACAGAAACAAAAGAAAACAGCTATTGCAGCAACAAACCACAAGAGATTAGACACATTACCTTATCTGTAGAGTACTTCCAAAGCTCTACGCTGTCCATACTGTTTCTCTTGGTGATTTTTGGTCTTGCTCCTGCAAAAAAGTTATGTAAATATAACACTCTGCATGTGACATTTCAGAACTTTGGAAACGCAGTCTTAAATGAACACCTTAAGGCTAAAAGCTGACATCTGTTTATTTTTTTTCCCCCCATTGGACGGTAATTTCAGCAGTGGTCTCATGATGTTCAACGTGGGTAAGAGGCAGACAACCAGGCAAACAAACTGAAAAAAAGCATCTGTTTGCCAAGCAATGATTCCAAAGCTAGAAATGTCTGACGTGGGTGTGAGTATCTATCCTGAGGGCTCATGAACACAGACACTATACAGACCAGGAAGGCTGAACAGATTTCCCACCTTCTGCATAATTCTTTAACAAGGCCTCATTACTCAAACTCATGAGCGCTTGGATCATTTGATTTGATTTAAAAAAAGTTATCTTTAGCTTCAATTCAGACATAACACAGACACAATCTTGCCTTAAGATAGTTTTACAATTAATATGACAATTTTTTTCTAGATATTCAACATACTGGTTAACTGGGCAGATGGCAAAAATGAAAAGATGATAACATGAAGCATAAAATAGAAGTTTTGTTTATCAACAGTAGCCAAGTTTTAACGTGTTTAATGTCTGTTATTATTACATTATTACAGTATGCTCAAACAGAAATGATAACCAGAACAGGGCTAATTCTATTAATACGACCATGCACGCAACAGTGGATTCTCTAATGAGCAAATTGCCATAATCTTTCCTAATTGGCAAAAAATATTGTTTAACCAATACCTCGTCTTTTCTTACAGCTGACCAGTGTAGTAAATAGACTATAACCAAGTTCAACATGGTACCACTTTTTGGTATAGAAGCTGTGGGAAAGACTCCCATGCATTTATCCATCAGTACTGCGCATTTTAGTGTGTATTCACACCAAGAAATTCCATTGGTCTGCTTGTTTGCTCACCTTGTTTTTGTTTGGTTTTCTTTTACATTGTTTTATGACATGCATGGGCCGATCCTTGCAACCAAAGATGCAAATGATTGATTAATGTATTAATCTAATGTGGATTAATCTTATTGACAGACTAAAGATTAATTGTTAAGCAGCCATTTCCTTCAAAAACTGAGTTTTCTCTAGTATCCAAAGGATCTTTCCAATCACATGAAGGGTAATTTATTTTTTCTTAAATATGTAGAGTAAAATGGAAAAAAAAAAATAGTACATCATTAGATTTCTTTATTTGAGCCTTTATGACTAAAACATTGTTTGATGAGCAGGCAGTAACCTTAGTACTTTAGCCTCGATGCATCTATAAACCTGTAGCTTATTTTAACCAAAACCCTGCTGCATCTTCCCCTCTAGATTACAGACAAGTTCTGTTTATTAGGCATCTTCTGAGATGCATTGTTATTAATATTTTTTCCCTGACAGAAGAGCTGTCCTAATCAGATAAACTGCTTGGGAAAAACCTTCAGCTCTATAATCTATGGTGTTACTCTATGAGAAGGAGAACTATGTAATATATCTACTCTGCTTAACAGATAGTCTATATAAGAAGTGCATACATAAATAATAAAGATTAATCCTGACAGATTCATGCTGTTCTTGTATGCTCTGGCATTATTTCTCTTGCAAATACCAGTGAGGTTCAGATTAGGAATGAAAAGATTGGGAATGAACAGCTATACCCTCTAATGGACGGCGGTAAAACTGCATCACTGAAAGAAATTCTTTAAGTGGATCTTATAATTTTTGGAACAATTATTTTTGGAATAATTTTTTGTATCTAATAAACTACAAATTGACAGTTACTCACAAGTCGGTTGTTTCTGTACAATCCTGTTTGCTATCATTAGACAGAAATTACTAGGGCGGGACAGTGCAAAACTTGGAAATTAAGAAAGTGTTCAGATTCACGGTCCAGAACCTAGGTACTGCATATTTCTATTTTAAATACAGCTGCAAAATCATTTTAAATGTTAGGAGCTGCTTATTTAACAGGTTTCGTGAAATTTTATTCCTACTTTTTGAGCAGCGAGAATGAATCCTACAAGCCGAAGGAGACCCACAGAAAAATGGAAGCAGTGTTGCTGAGCAGCAGAGCAGATCAGGCATAATTTCAGCACTACATTCACTGCTCGGGGGGGTTGTTAAAGGGATAGTTCGGGATTTTTGACATGAATCTGTATGGCATCCCCATCACCAGTGTCATGCAATCACACTGACTTAGCATCCTGTGAGCAGAGTTCTCGTCCAGCTTTGGTCAAGCCGAAAGTAGTCCGGCAGGTTTGCTAGACCCAGCGAAATAAAACGTTTCTCTTCCCAAAACATTATGTGTTCAAAAGAGTGATATTTTTGCATCCCAAAAACATTGTAGTGGAAAAAGTCACACGTCGTTATCACTTGGTCCTATTTTCTCTCTGTTCTTATCAGTGCGCGCAACACCATGACCTGACAGCTAGGGCCTACCTGTTTGATTCGCGATTGTTTACTACTGGGGAAGATGTCTGACTACGAGAGCGACGAGGAAAACATCGACTTCCACTTAGAGCCAAAGGGATATCTTTATGAACCCGAGTACACTGACGATGAACTTCGACAAATGGAGTTAGATCGGGCAGAAAGAGAGAGGGTGGACAGAGAAGTGATGGAAGCTGAAGCCGGAGCCGCAGGAGCCACAGCTGGAGCTGCGATATCCAGGGTGGCCGACAAATCATGGTGCACTTGTTTCAAGTGCGAATTAATGCAGACAGAGGTGGATGCTACTGTTGCCACGAGTGGGATTTAGTAATGCCCGAGATACAGAACCTTTCCATTGATGAGGATGTCGGAGTTGCAGCAGCTGCTGTCTGCATCACTGAAAGCACTGAAAAGTTGAGCTGGAAAAGTTGAGCTCGCTGTCAGAATGACGGCGCGCACTGATACGAACAGAGAGAAAATAGGACCAAGTGATAACGACGTGTGACTTTTTCCACTACAATGTTTTTGGGATGCAAAAATATCACTCTTTTGAACACATAATGTTTTGGGAAGAGAAACGTTTTATTTCGCTGGGTCTAGCAAACCTGCCGGACTACTTTCGGCTTGACCAAAGCTGGACGAGAACTCTGCTCACAGGATGCTGCCAGGGGTAAGTCAGTGTGATTGCATGACACTGGTGATGGGGATGCCATACAGATTCATGTCAAAAATCCCGAACTATCCCTTTAAGTTCAAATATTTTCTGGGTTTGGGTAGGATCATGACCAGTTCATATTTCCTTCCATTAAGACATTTCATCCCAGTGCTGCGTGTCCAAAGCCTGTAAAATCATTTGTGACCCCTCTCACCCCCTCCATGGACTGTTCTCCCCGCTGCCCTCTGGGAAGAGGCTTTGTAGCAAAATATGCAGGTCCAGTAGGTTCTGCAACAGCTTTTTCCCTGCTGCTGTCAGATTGTTAAACTGTTAAACTCTAAACTGGGCTCTGCATCACAGTCGCACCATTATTTCATACCACCAACATGGGTGAAACTTTTAAATAAGACAAAACTCAATGTTATACTGCATTTTGCTCTATATTAATTTTGCAATGTGTTGAACCTTTCCATATTGATGCCCTTTTGCACCATTATTCTTTTTTAAACTAACTTTCCTTTTCTCATATACTGTTTACATGATGATCACTGCTGCACATTAATGGTAATGGTCATTTCACTGTTGGAAGCTGCTCATGCACTGTTGAAAAGCTGTAAGCAATGTAATTTAATTTTGTATACACTTGGTGTATACAAAAAGACAATAAAGTTTGTCTAAGTAAGTAATTAAGTCCAAGTTGTTTTGTTTTGATGCAGACAGAGGCCACATCAAAAAGTGGCGTCTGAGTGTATTTACAGCATTACATAAGGTCTTGACAAGTGGTGGGAAACAAACATTGAAGTATTTTTGCTCTCTTGTCTGTTGCTTTCTCTTTCTTTGGTTATAAATACTTCATTTGTCTTTAAATGGGCACGTGTTATCATGTTTCATTTTTATCACATAAATAAAGAAACAGAAAGCACTACCAACATAAAGAATGACCCAGAAAGAATCCGCAGTACAATCTGGGATCGGCTTATCTAGTTTCAAAATATTGGGTATCAGCATCAGCCTAATAAAAACTTGTATTGGTCGGAATCTGATGTGGATAAGCGAAAGCTAGTGTACCTAAAGGCCTTCTGGTCAATCTGTTCCATCTAGTTTATAAAGCAAACAGAAATTAAGCTTTAAAAAGCAAAGACATGCAAGAAATAATTGAAAATGAAAGAGTACTTTCTGACATGCTAAGAGATCACTTCATTCTAATCAGATACTAAGGAACATTAAGAAAGACTTTCTGCAGATATAAAGAAAGCAAATTTATCTTCAAAATAGTTTCTTTAATATGCTTATATTTTTAACTTCAAACGTAGGACACAGTACGTTTGGAAATGTTCTCAGCCTATTAAAAATCTGAAGGTTAAGTAAGGATCTACATTTTTTATCCAATTCATATGGAAATTGGTTCTTTAGTAAAATTAGCCTCACTATATGTCAGAATAGGACATTGAAGTGCCCTTAAACAAAGGGCATGAGACAGGCTATGTTAGTAAATAAATACTGCTTAAAACTTAAAAGGGCAAGGCAAAAAATAAAGTTTCCTTTTTCTGATGATGTCATATAAAATGGTTCAGACAGAGAGGTTTGAATCTGTTAAATTAAACAAGATTCCTATTCCTGGATATTAAAATCTAATTAGGTCACTTAAACGATTAACCTATTATAAAAAGACATTTTAATTAAGGACAATGTGAGACTATAATTCAACATGTTTTTAATTCATAATTAATAAAGAAGATAGAACCCTATTCATTACCAAAAAAGCTAAAAAAAAATATTTCATGTTAGAATAAATGTTTTTCAATACAATGAAGACTATATATCTACTTAAATGTTTGGATATTCAAGATCAAAGTTCCCTTAAAATAGTGAAAATAAATGATCAAACTGCAACAGTCATACATATATATATTTTTAAGTAGTAGTAATTCCCTTTTCAGGCTCACCTTGCATTTCAAACTCTGAACTGGAAGGAGAAAGATCCCCCTCGTTGACTCCCAAAGCCTCCATCAGTTGCTCTACATTCATCCTTGCTGTTAGCTCCCCATTTCTATCACCGATCTGTGGGACAAGAATGAGGCAGGAAGACAGACTGCTCAGAGAAAAGAAGCTTCATTTTTCATTAAACTGCTGAGGTTGTTAAAATGTCTTACTTCCTTTGAGATGTCTAGGTGCTTCCTGGCGTAATGGAGAGCTTGTTTGTGGTTTCCTAAAGACACATACGCATTTCCCAGACTCCAGCAGGCACGTCCCTCGCCAACCCTATATAAAAAATAACATACAGATGTTTCTTCTGATAGACAACCTAAAACATTTTTTTTTCCTAAATCATCCTAACACAATGTTTTTGTCTTATAGGGCAAAAATATTTTCAGCTGACTGAAAGGAGGCCACATTTCTATTCCATTTTAAAGACAAAAAAGTAAATTTGGCTCTTTGAATATATTTCTACCTAAAAGAAATAAATAAAAAACACGGGTGTGAACAGCCCTGAAGTTGCCCTCAGGTGATGCACATGTGCAGAACAACACAACATCCGGCATATGCATTCAATTTGCTGAAGCCAATGTAGATGGTTAAACATGCCTAAACATATTAGTTGAGAACATTTACTCTTTCAGAGTGTCTTTTGTTATGTTTGCCATCACTGATAAAAAAAATCCTTTTAAGGAACATAATATAATACATGCCATACAGACTTGCTTTGTGTGGATCTTTGTTTAATAATTCCTTTTTTAATGCATAATGTGACAGCGTAAGAGCCTGCTACCGGTTATTCTACAATTACTTCCGTAAACCAAATAGTTGCATCCATGATCAATGGTTTTATCAGTTAACTCTACCTGTCGTCAAGTTCTTGGGCTATACACAGATGTTTCAAGTGGTAGTCTACAGCCCTCTCATACTGTTGCAGTAAAGTGTAGGTGTTTCCAAGGCTGTAACAAGCTTGAGCCTCCATCACTTGGTCCCTCAGCTGGCGGGAAAGCTGCAGAGTTTTTCTATGAGAGAGGAAACAAGACAATAGGTCAGGAAATAAACCTGGGGATGCTTAAAACCCAGATTGACAAGATGGATAGATAGCAATAGGGTAATAAGCAAAAATGGTGTTGGAACATGCATTGAGATTGATCAAATCTGCAATAAACATTCATCCACTAGATGTCAGACTACACTGGGTCTTTACCTGTAGTATTCTGTGGCAGTGCTGAACTGTCCCAGGAATATCAGGGCATTACCAAGATTACTGTAAGCTCGACGTTCTGCTGCTTTGTCCCCAAATTCTTTGGCAATGGATAACCGCTGTAAATCACAAATAAAATTAAACTCAATCTTTTTATAACTTTTCATATTTCCTCCAATCAATGATTAAAAAAGTTTAATTTCAATATTAAATTGCTTTACTTTACCAAACTGATTTGATAGAATGCATATGTGAAAGTAACTCAAATATCAGGGGTTCCTTTCTTTTTCTTAATAAAATGCATTTCAGCAGAAACAATCCATCAAAGCACCCTTTTATTTCTTTTTGCAGGCAACATGTTCCCCTCTGTTGATCCCGGATAGTTTTGTAATAAATAAAAGAGGAGGGAATGGCTTCTCACAACGGGAAACAAAAGGTTTAATGATGAGTGACATGAAAACACAAGATGGGAGTTACTGAGCTACACTTTTCAATGAATCCTCACAAAACCAATTTCATTCTTTTTTCAGCGAGTAGAACGCTTTCTTCACACTAAGGCAGATTTCATGTCATAGAGAAAAACACATTCAGATAAAATTCTAACCATACTTTATCAAAGAGACTTACCTTATTTTTTCTATTCAACTCAAACAAAACATGCAAATGATAAATACAAACAGATTACACAGGATCACTCCTCTTTTCCTAGACAAACTGAGCAGCCAAGACAATTTGCATGTAAAATGGAAGCCAAGACATTTAACAAAAAGACCAGCTCATTTTAAGATTAAAAAAAATCCATTACAATAATTTCATCAAACATAAACAGTTTTCATATAAACAAGTAAGTTTCTTTTTTATGGATGTAGAATGTCCAAGTGACTAACTGCTACTGTTTAATGCAAACAACTGGTATTGGGCTCCTGTATGTCGACTATTGGACCTCTTACCTGACGGTGGAACTTAATAGCTTCAACAAAGTTCCCCAGCAGGTAGTGAGTATTTCCCAGATTCCCATACGCTCTCCCCTGAGCAGCTCGATCACCAAGTTCCTTCACCAAACACAAGTTCATCCTGCAGAAGTACAACCATTGGTAAAATTACTGAACTGATATTACTGACCAATTCATATATTTGTCATTTAGTCTTATTCTTTTTAACAAGTACTATTTTAATACAAACTGTTTTAAAATGGATAATTGCATACACTGTATAGAATTTATTTTTATTTTTAACTAAACAAAATATATATTTTTACATCATCAATCAAATACAATATTTCTATATCATAAATGTCAAAATAATGAGAACTATTTTTACTTCAGTATTGTATAAAAATTTCTTTTAAACTGTATGAATTACATCACATGTAGGGCTGGAACAAATCATCGGATTAATCGCGATGTATCGACTGTTGAAATAAGGATTAATCGATTATGAATTATAAATGATTATAAATGTTTGGGCGATTAGCTGTCAGAGCGACCCACTTAGAGCAGTAATTATATCAAAATTGTAAAAATATATATACAAATTTTGTATCTAAGATAAAAATTATTTTTCAACTGTCAATATGCTCTATCCAGATCTCGAGTGGAAACATTTTACTTTCACCTGCTTTAATTTCGTAAAAAAATCTCCTTTAAGGAACATTTGGCTATCCGATTATTAATCAAATTATTGAAAAAAAAAAAAAAATCAATTTGCAAAATAATCATTAGTTGCAGCCATAATCACATGTTTCTAATTAAAAGTCAACAAGCATTGCTAATAGTTTGTTGGAATCCTTTCCCATTTCTCCTAACAGAAATAGTGCAATCAAGTCTGGCTCAAAGCCTACTTGGAGCTCTTTTTTGTGATGAGACTGTAATCATTGCCCAGTAATGGACTCTCTAAAACACTGATTTTTGTTTGTGACAAAGCTTTAACATCCTTTTTGATGAATTAAGATGTCCCTTCACTATTTCCACATCCACAAAACATTAACTCCCAACCCCCTTTTTTCCCCTTTTCATAGCTGTCCTTGTGGCCAAACACTTAATCTTACAATCAGACCACAGGGAAAATTAAGGTCCTGCTTCCTGAGTGGATTTGCAAACTGTAATCTGGCTTATTACATTTTAGAGTAATAGCTTTTTCCTCTAAGTTGCCTTTTAACCCATGTTGCTCAGCATATTTTCCACTGTGGAAGATGGCCCTTAAAAATGTGTAATTATATTCGTTCTCAAAGGTGATTCTCATATTTCACAGAAATCTTTTTATCTGTTTAACAACACTTCGTCATTACCCTAGTATGATGTTTTGGCATTTCTATGTTCTTTATACATACAAATAATTATTTGAACAGATAGAGATGGAACTCTGGAAATAATGTTAGGGGCTCAACTTTTTGGGGATTCACAATTCTCCACCAAAGTTGCGAAACAGTCAGTGTTATGAGCTTAGATAATCATGGCATTATTCAGGCTTTCAATATTGTTAAAAGAAAAAGTAATTTTAGAGTAAATATATTAACTTCTGCCTTTTAAGTAGGAGTAAACATTTGGCTTTAACCATCAACCCACAGATTAAAGTCCTTTATTAATGTTTTTACAACCCACATTGAACTTTAAATATTGCTTTATGCTTATCACAAGATGCTTAATTACTGACTTTCATTTGCAGATGGGCATTTCTTGTTCAAAACTATGTTCTAACCTGTTCTATCACATTGTTATTGTTTGGTAAATTATGTAGATTAAAGGGTTGGATGTGTTACTGATACAAACTCGTAAAAGCCTGTAGCCTTCTGCAGTGTCTCTCTGACATCGGAGGGCAGCTCGCCTGGTTCCTGGGTGCAGCCCCACAGCTGCTGTTTTCCCTTTGCATGAAACACGTTCCCAATGTTGTACAGAGCTCTTGCCTCTCCCACCTACAGCAGTACAGGAAAGACAGACAAGTTGGTGCACATGTGTTGATATAGGGTTTGTTTCAGTCTTTTTCATTAAAAGTGCATGATTGTTTGTTTTATTATGAGCAAAACGATTAGTATATGGTGCAATATTTTACCTTATCGCTCTGCTCTTGAGATATATCCAGATGTCTTTGACAGCAGACCACAGCCTCATCAAAGCGGCCCAACACTTTTAAAGTGTTACCCAGGTTACCGCTTGCTTTCCCTTCTCCAATTCTGTCACCTATGGTTCTAAGAAATGAAATAAACATTTTTGTTTTCAAAACCTTGGACAAAAAAAAACAACCTTATTAGTAAATCAAATAATTAATGCATTCAAATAGGGTTTATTAAGGACACTTCTATGGTACATATGAAATATATCTGCTTAATTCCAGGGACCAGGCCCGGGTGTTCCTGGTGAGACTGTAATGTAACAAGCCAGATCTCCAAGGGGTTTTTAATCACTCCCCTGCTGAAGTACCAGATGCAGTCACTGTAGGAGGCCTGATTACTAACAAGCTAAATATTCTGTTTGTAGTTGTTAACTTTTACTGCCCAAGAATCCTTATCATTTGCTTCAATGTCAGTAACTCAAACTTTCAGATTCTCCTTTTGTGTCTGACTGAGTACAATCTGAATAAATAGTGACCAGTAATCACCTTTGAGGGCAAATTCATTTTTAACAGAACAGCAATTGTATGACCCAAAGACAACATCATGGACTCTTTGTTTTATGACTGTTTGTATGCAAAATAGATAAATGCATAAGTATTAATTAACAATTCAAAATAAAAATT